AAGTCTGATTCCATCATTTTGTCACACTCATTCTTCGTCCAGCTTTGTTCCCTTGTTGGGGAGGAGTTTTGGTCCTTTGTAGGAGGTGAGGTGTTTTGGTTTCCAGTGTTTTCCTCATTTTTGTGCTGGTTTCTTCCCATTTTTGTGGATTTATCCACCTGTCGTCTGAGTAGTTGCTGACTTTTCGATTGGGTCTCTGAGTGGATGCCCAGATTGTTGATGATGAAGTATTTCTGTTACTTAGTTTTCCTTCTAACAGTCTAACCCCTCTGCTGTACAACTGCTGATGTCCACTCCAAGCCTTGCTTGTCTAGGGTACACCTGTAGCAGCTGCAGAACAGTGAGGGATCCTACCAGTTTCTTCTTCTGCTATCTTTGTCCCAGAATGATGCCCGCCAAATATCAGTCTGATCAGTCCTTTTTGAGGTGACTCTTTGGATACACAGGGGTCAGGGAGCTGCTTGAGGAGACGGACTATACTTTATAGGAGCTCAAGTACTGAGCTGTGAGCTCCGTTGTTCATTCAGGCTGTTAGGCAGGTGCGTTTAGGTCTGCTGCAGCACAACTTATAAATCCCCTTTTTTCCCCCTCAGATGTTCTCTCTCCGGGAGTTAGGGCTTTCTTTATGAGTATCCGTTGCACTGTCCTGCCCAGCTAGGAGGCAGTCTAGTCACTATTTGCCTGCCGAAGCTCCGTCCTGCTACCACGGAGTCCGCCCTGTTGCCGTTGGCTCTCCCTTGCTGCTGTGGGCTCTGCCCTGCCATCGTGGGCTCCGCCCTGCTGCATTGCACTCTGCCCTACTGTTGTGGGCTTCACCCTGTTGCCATGGGCTCCGCCCTGCTGTCGTGGGCTCTTCCCTGTTGGCGGAGTTTCTCTGTTATGGTGGGTTGCCTCAGCAACGGCAGGCTGCGTCAGCAATGGGAGTGTACCTCAGTAGGCGCGGAATGCCTCTGTAGTGGCGGACGCCCTCCCCCACCGAGCTGCACCATCCTGGCTTCAGCTGTGCCCGCAGTGAAACTCTCAAGCCCAAGCGTTTCGAATAGCCATTTTGTTTGTCCCTGTGGGGGTGGGACCCACCAAGCCTGATCACCTGGCTCCCTGCCTCAGAGCGCTTTCTCTTTTTTTTTAAGTTGAACGGTTGACTCTCTCCTAGGTGTTTTAGTCACCTGCTGAAAGGGCACCGGGATGTGTGTGATTTCCCATGCAGCAACCCACTGCACTGGCTCAAATGTCACTTCCCAGGAATCTCCTGGTCTGGCTCTCTGTCCAAGTCCCGTTTAATCAGATGGATATGCTAATCTGCCCTCCTAAATCTCAGGATGCCGGTTTAACAGGGCACCCAGACCAGTGCATTTTGTGCAGGGTGCTGCTGTGCTGTGGCGCCGGCCGAAACGGCCACGCAAGCCAAGAGGGCTGTGCTGGCGTCCCGTGTCTCTCCTACTCCTGGGAATTTCCCCTTTCTGTGGGCAACAAAGAACCATCTGGAAATGTGGCTAGGACTCACCCTCTGTGCCTTCACTGAGAGTTGCAATCCTGAGTCATTCCTACTGCAGCACCTTGGAAATCGCCTTTTTTTTTTGACATACATAACTTTTTATTTATTTATTTATTTATTTATTTATTTATTTATTTATTTATTTAGATATGGAGTCTTGCTCTGTAGCCCAGGCTAGAGTGCTAGAGTGCAGTGGCATGATCTCGGCTCACTGCAACCTCCACCTCTCGGGTCCCGGTTCAAGCAATTCTCCTGCCTCAGCCTCCAGTGTAGCTGGGATTACAGGCACATGCCACCATGCCCAGCTAATTTTTGTATTTTTAGTAGAGACAGGGTTTCACCATGTTGGCTGGCTGGTCTTGAACTCCTGACCTTGTGATCCACCCACCTCAGTCTGCCAAAGTGCTGGGATTACAGGCGTGAGCTACCGTGCCTGGCCAATCACTTTTTACTAAAAACAAATACAGTCAGATCTAATCAACATTCCTTTTGCAATGTTTTCTATTGCACCCCAATTTAGAAAATCTTCCCTACTCTGGCAGTTTGATAAATATTTACATTAATATTTTTCAGTTTGAATTTGTATATTTAACTTGAATTTCCTTTTGATTCATGTTAGCATGCAATGAAAAGATGTAAACTTCTTTTTAAATTGCTTTGGGCAGGGCATGGTGGGTGGTGTGTGCCAGTAATTCCAGTTACTTGGGAGGTGAAGGCAAGAAGATTGCTTGAACCCAAGAATTCAAGGTCAAGGTGGGCAAGAGAGCAAGACTCTGTCTCCAAAATAATAGTAAATAATAATAATGTAATAAACTTCTTTGAGCTGTGCCAACCTAATTTATTGAATAATCCATCTCTTTCCCATTGGTTTTTGATGCCTTTTCCAATTATAATCTTTATTTCTTTCATATACAAAATGCCTGAGAGAGTTATTCTGTCCCATTCTTAACTTTCATCACCTTATTTTAGCTGTGGGAGCTTGAATGAGTGTTTTATTTTCTGGCTTGGCATACCGTTCTTCATTATATAGCAGTGTATACTATTGAGAAAAGAATTGCTTTGGCCTCATTAGCTGTGAATTTAAATCCCAGTTCCGTCTGTTACAAGCTGTGTGTCTGGAGGAAGTTATTTAACCTCTCTGAACTTGTAGTTTTTTTTTTGAAACTATCACCAACTACCTCACAGAGTCGTGGTTAGGATTTTGTGAGGTAATGCATTCCAATGCACACTGATATAGCAAACAGACAATTAAAAGAATTAAGTTCCCTTCTCTTTCAGACTTTTCTTTAAAAGTTTTGGCCTTTTTTTAGCCTCTTAAATGGACATTGGATGTAGTATGGTTTTATCTCCCAAAGTCACTTGACCTTTCATTTGGAATCTAAAATAATCTAAGAACTGATAACTTGATAATATTAAATCTTCACATTCAAGAATATAAAAGAGGAGAACTTGGTAGGTTGTGGGTCATTTCTGATTTAACAAAAGGGAGGATTTTAGAATTCAATTAGCCAGGCCCAACACCAGAGATGGGTAATATATGCAGCTAAAGAAAAGGTAACAAAGCAAGCAAAGAAAGTGAGAGTTCTAAAAAAAGAGAGCACTTCGAGCTGACCCCATTGTTGGAGACTGTCATTCCCCAATAGAATATCAGAGGTGCCTGGGAGTTACCTAAAAAACATTAACTGGAGTCAAGTTTTCAGTCTGGGAGGCCATTTTCACTTACTTTCCTACTTATGTCTCGAAGACAACAACAACTTTACCTTTGCTGGGAAAGTTAGCCTGAGTCACTCCATGATAAAAGGGATAAAATACAAGAAACAGAAAATTTCTGAAAGAGGAAATAGATAAAGGTGACAACTGCATCACTGAATCAACACTCAAGAAGGCTGTTTTGAAAGGTATGTGTTTGAAGGATGATGTCGTTACCTCTCAAGGACAGTGTACAGTATTTCAGCTTTCAGGTATGTTACTTTTAAGATCAGTTTTAAAACATGTGTTTGAAATATGTAGTTTGAAAGCACACATTTTAAAAGACTTGTGATTTTGGTTTCTTACCAAAACAAATAGTTCCAAGTAGACATGCCAAGCATAATTTCATAAAAGCATAAATGAAAGTTATATACTTAACTACCTATTACATAATTATGTGATAATACTATTTAAAAGGTAAATACTGTCTGAAAACATGCACAAACTCTAGAGAATGCCATGGTACGTGGCAGCTGGTCAGTAATGGCTGATCATGGCCATGACTGGGCCCTGCTTTTAGCAAATGTGCAGATTCAAAAGAGGGCCTGCCCAGACCTAAAGTCAAGGCACCGTAAGTAATGCTTAGGTGCTCAATGCTGCAGGTGACAGTTTAGGTCTGGGCTAAAATATCTGAAAAGACCTCTCGTGGGTAGTGCTTCTATAAAGGAATGTCATACTTAGCCACTAGCATGTGCCTCACAAGCTTCTGTCAGACCGAGGCTAAGGTTCATGAGAGCAGATGGGCCTGCCTACACATGGCACCATCTGGTATCCAGATGGGGCCAGTGCCAGTGGCCCTACTGTCCACATACAGACTGACTTCAGCCTCAACTCACCTCACTGCCCAGCATAATGACTTCCCAAGGAATGAAGGTGTGTGGGGGCTTTGTTTTCTTTGAGGACAGGAAAAGAAGGATGAAGGATTATGATTAAACATTATAAACTTCTTTAAAAAATGTATATAAACACACACCTCTTTTCTACTACCTGCCTTATAGTTTTTATCAAGTGTACTCAGTCTAATTCATTTGTTAATAAAAAGTTAGCATATCTGAAGCAGGCATATAATATAAAAAAAATAGCTTAAAAACAGTTTTTACTTTCATTACTCTTTCCTACTTGTTTTTTGAGTAACCTACTTGTATTTTTCTGAAATTTCTCATTTTAAACTGCAAAGACTATTTTGGATAACATGCCTAGTCTTGAGGAAAGACCTTTTTAATGTGCTTTTAACTGACCAAGACACTTTAATTGTAATGCAGTGTTTTTTTTTTTCCCTCAGAGTGTACATTTGTGTTCTATAAAAGAAAAAGAAAATCACAGAAGAGGGACAAGGGAACAGCCACCAAGAAAGGGTTAGAGGGGAAGGAAGCTGGCAGGGAACCAAAATACTGCAGGTCAGAGAAATGTAGGTTTCTACAGTAGTAACAAGAAAATGTTCCTGTCTACAGTTCCCACTTCAGTACCATCCTGGTGAAAGGGGTGACATTCAGGAGGAAAATAGGGTGGATACAAAAGAAAGAAGAGTTCAGGGGCAGGGAGCAGCTTAAAAATGCAATTAGCAGCATATGCTCAAGAAAGTATTTGAGTCCCAGACCCCAGTCCATGAGGCAGCTGCGGCCAGCACCCAGAGAAGGAGGGCAGAGAGGTGGACAGCACCCATGAGGGGAAGCAGGGAGGCCGTGCAACTTGACAGATGTTATCACGGAAGCGGGTGGCGGTCGAGGAGACATTACCAGAAGAGAAACCTACCCACCTCTGCCAGATTGTCACCCGACTTGGTGACAGCGGGGGGGTCGAGGAGCAGAGACTCGGCATGGATTCTGCGTAAACGTTCTTTAAGATCTGTGTTTTGTGCTAGGGCCTGGAACATGTTAAAAATAGTGGGGCTCTGTTAATAAATGGATGTTTCAGAAAAGCACAGCAGTGGGCCCCACAGGAGTGATCTCTAAGAGCCTGATGAAACTCTCAGAGGACACTTCCTGGACTTTTTTTCCTTGAATGCTCTCCAAGAGGAAACTGGTTCTGAGATGCCTGGGAGATGACAAACTGGAGGCTCTGGAAATGAGGCTCCTTTTCTTTTCTCATTCCAGATATGGAAGGAGGGTTGGTAAGGGTGACAAGGAGGGAAGTCACAGACACTGTTGGCTCCTGTTAAGACCAGTGGTTTCACAGCATCTCCTCCGCCTCCCTAGTTGTCTGGAGTCTCTTTGGCCAAATCCCTTCCTATGGAATCCAGGCTTCTATCGGCTTTGAAGAATATGCTGCTCCCACTCCTTATAATTGGGCATACTTCAGTGTTACTTAATTACCATACCCATTGACTCATATTTAGAAAGTATGCTGGAGGCCGGCCATGGTGGCTCACACCTGTAATCCCAGCACTTTGGGAGGTGGAGGAAGGCAGATTTGTTGACATCAAGAGTTGGAGACCAGCCTGACCAACATGGCAAAACCCCATCTCTACCAAAAAATAGAAAAATTAGCTAGGCATGATGACACATGCCTGTAGGCCCAGCTACTGGGGAAGCTGAGGTGGGAGAATTGCTTGAACCTAGGAGGCTGACAGAGGCTGCAGAGAGCTGAGATCGTGGCCTGAGTAACAGAGTGAGACCCTGTCACAAAACAAAAGAAAGTGTGCCAGGAAGCAGGACTTTGTGAAAGACAAACTTTGTAATGTTTAGGCGCTCAATGCCGCAGGTGACAGTGTGGGTACTGATTGTTCTGTTCATTCTTCAGGACTAAGACAATTTATTTTAAAAAAGAAATGAGTAAACCTCACTTACCTGCATAAAGGCTTAAGGACCATGGCTCTAGGAATGGGTAAGTGTGAGATGAAGAGCAAATCTGAGACTACCTTAGGCCTCTTTTCTATTTCCCTCGGCAGGCCCCATTCCTTATCTCAACCTCTCAACTATGAGGAAAGTGGCTGAAAGGTAAAGGAAGCTGTTTCCTTCACACTGATACTCCTGTGCACTTCATGACCAACTGTTCTCAAATGGTCTGTCTGTGGAAGGGGACAAGTTCTCCTGATTGTCTTCCCAGACACTCCCATGATCAGCTCCACCAGTGCTTGCATGCAGATTCAGCCTCTCTGTCCTCCTGACTCTTTTCTAAGAAGGTCTGAGTCTTTTCCATCTACCAGGGCCTGCAGGACCAACCTGCTAAAAGCACAGAAATATGTGGCACTGCCTAATCCTCTACCTGGATCTCCAACAGGAATGCTCACTTTATTTTTCAGTCCCCACAGAGCGTATGAGTTATTTGAAAATCCTAGAGAACTACTTAAGAAACACTGCACAAGAGCTAAGATCACACAACCACGTATAACAATCTCTTTGGAGCACTCACTTTATTTTCTGCATGTCATAGTACGGAGACTAGAATCTAAGTAGAGCTTGGAAATTGTGCTATTTTATTAGTTTTTCTTTCCTTTATAAGCCACAGGCAGAAGCAGAAGACAGCAACATTGTGCATACAGCACCAACATATCCATTCTGATAGCTCTGACATGGTCCTAAAAATTTTATTTTCAAAAAAACAAGTCCTAAACCCTATCATCAATCCAAGCCAAAAAGGAACGAAAGGATCATTTGGTTTTATCTGAAGTTTCCAAAATCATGAATATGGGGGAATTCCTTAGTGAAGGTGAAAACAACCTTGGCTTACAATACTGCAGCCAAATAGGTCTCAGTGGCCAGACCTCTGCAGGAGAAGGCAGGGAGAAGAAGATCCTAGGGAAAGGGACCTTGGAAGCCCATCAGAGGTACATTTTGTAAATGCACTAAAAGCTAGCCTAATGGGAACAATACGAAATTTAGGAAATAAAAACCAGAAACACTTTGCTTCTGCTTCTCTCAAACCAAAATAGTACCTAGTGTGCGGCTGTCTGCTACAATAAAAAGGGGGGACAATTCTATCTGTGACCTTAATTAGGACAAAGTTAAGACTCCTCTTTATATATGGAGCAAGCCAATGTTATTTTTAGTTTCTTTTGAAGATAGCATACTTGGAATGGTCCATAAGTGAATACTCCTTACGTATTCTACAACAACTATCTGTGCTACTGGCAAAGGATTTATCACGATCATTATACCAAGAGCATCACTTTTCTTAGCAATACGATGAATAGAAAATATGAATCAGTATTTTCTAGTTCTCTCAGTGCCTGTGTTGGCTTCTGGTTACAAGATCCTAAAATTCACCTCCCCTGCCTGACTTGAAATAGAAAATTCAGTATTGCTTCAGATGGTAATTTCATATGTGCACATACTCTTTCTCTTTCTAAAGAAGGAATTCCAAAGTACAAGAAAAGAGTAAAAGCAAATCAGTATGCTATTTCAAAAGTTCTCTAGCCTCCTGATAGTACACAGTGAAAAAAAACCAGACAACTTTATTCAAATAGAGGTGGGACATGGCACTTTAATGGAGCCCAACTATTCTGAGGGATGAATTGAAATAGATGAAAAAAGAGAGAGAGAGAATGAGTGACAGAATGGCTGAGAATCATTTGGAACCCTGACAGTGATTTTCCTGTTATTATGAAGGTACAGTGATTGCCTGACAGGCACTTTCTTGTGACTCATCTCTTTGTAGCCACAGTAGCGGGGCGGGGTGGGGCGGGGCGGGGAAGCTAAATGTCTGGTACTATCCAATCAAACAAAATAACTCTCATGTCTTTGAAATAGTGATAAACAGGATCAGTGTTTTGCAATAGAGAAGATAAGAGCATGAATTGGAAATTTCACTCCGCCACCTGTCATTTGGAAAGTCAGGCTAAGCTTGTGGTGTCTCATGCCCATAAAATCTCCACCAAACTGTCAGATTTTATAAGCATTAACAGAAAAATGTCTGTAAGATGCACACACATACACACAAAAATGTACAATAAAAATTTTAGAGAAACAAAAAATTAAGATAAATCAGAGGAAACCAAACTTAAAGAAGGTATCACTTATAAAATAGTAGCTACTAAGATTTGTACAGGTGAGTTTTGGTGTTTCAAATAAGCAGATTTGATAAAAGCTTAGAATATAATTCGGATAATTTGGTTTTCTCCTGAAATTTCAACACAATCATGAAAATCGTGAATTTTCAACACAACCATGGAAATAGAAATTACAAAACATTCATGAGCCTGGACACACCTCAGCCATTTCAGGATGCAGCTATGTAACTTACGGATGACAGGGCATTCTTCAGACCAATGACCTGAGCAGATGGGGAGGAGGAGGCATCCTGCTCCATCAGCTGTCTCAGTTTCTCTCTCTCCGTTGACATGATATTAAAAGCTGACCTTAAAGTGAAGTAAACTATAGAGATATAATCATTATAAAAAGGAATAAAGAGGCATAATTAAAAACAAAATACATAAAAAATGTATCTCTAAAAGAATTAAGTGAAGTAACAGTCCTGAGTATTTTGAGTATAGCAAATGGACACTCTACCTGGACTTTTAAAAGACACATCTGCCTTGTGAATACTAATATAAATTAAGGCCTCTGGATGATGATGTATCCACGTAGGTGGACATCAACTGTAAGAGATGCACTACTCTTGTGTGAAATGCTGGTGGTGAGGGTACTGCACCTATATAGGAGCAAGAGGCTTATAAAAACTCTGCACTTTTGGTTCAATTTTGCTATGAACCTACAACTGCTCAAAAAAAATAAAGTCTATTAAAATTAACTCCCATACACACACATTTGCCAATTCTAAGTCCCCTATGCACTATAATATTTCATGACTTTATGACTTTTCATCAGGATTTTTTGACACTTGGACTTTGCCTCTGGATCCTCAACGATCAGTGTTTTGTTTTGTTTGTATCCCCAAAGACTGGAAAGGATTAAAAACAAAGCGTATTCATTTTCAAGGGGAAAATGTTAACACTGCAGCAGAAAAATTGGACAGCACCTTAACCAGGTGATCAAAATTAACTGTCAGTGAGAGTCAGGTGGACCGTGTGCCTCTAGGTACAATACGCTGAAAAAGACACATCTTCTTTGGTGTATGCCAGCCAGGGCTATGTAATCTGAATTTGATCATAAGGAGACATCAGACAACCCCAGAATGAGAAACATTTTATTTTTAAAAGTTGACCTGCATTACTCAAAAGTGTCAATTTTATGAAAGAGAAAGAAAGGCTGAAAAACTGTTCCCAGTTAAAGGAGGCAAAAAAGGCACGACAATGAAATCGACTCAAGGGGCAACATGGTACTAAAGGCATTATTGGGATAACTTTGAATACGGAAGGTAGAACAGATAAAAGTTGTTTCAATGCTGTATTTCCTCAATTTGGTTACTATACTGTGGCTATATACAGAATATTCCTATTTTATATACTAAAATATAAAGCCATAAAGAGCAACATAATGTATGAATCCTACTCTCAAATGGTTCAGAAAAATGAGTGTGCGTGTGTGTAGAGAGACAGCAGTAAAACAAATGTGGCAAAGTACTTAAAATTATGTATTTGGGTAAAGGGTATACAGAAAGTTCTCTGTATACTTCTTGCAACTTTTCTGTAAATTTGTAATTGTTTCAAAACGAGGTCTTATTTTCTACCTTCTTGCTTGTTAGCCTTTCCAGCTGCAGGACCCAGAATCTCCAACCTCTAACCCTGGCATTCAGCTACTCTGTTCCCTAGTGAGCACTCAGGTACAACGAGGGCTTAGCCACTATTAGGACTCCAATGCCTGAACTGAAGTTAAAAAACATTAACACAGGCCAGGTGCGGTGGCTCATGCCTATAATCCCAGCACTTTGGGAGGCCGAGGCAGGTGGATCACGAGGTCAAGAGATTGAGACCATCCTGGTCAACAAGGTGAAACCCCGTCTCTACTAAAAATAAAAAAATTAGCTGGCCATGGTGGTGCGCGCCTGTTGTCCCAGCTACTCGGGAGGCTGAGGCAGGAGAATTGCTTGAACCCAGGAGGTGGAGGTTGCGGTGAGCCGAGATCACGCCATTGCACTCCAGCCTGGGTAACAAGAGTGAAACTCTGTCTCAAAAAACAAAACAAAACAAAACAAAAAAAATTAACATATAGAGCAAAGAAAAAAAATCATTATTCATTAGGTTTGATCACATCATGTACAAATTACTTCCTAGGAATGAGGAAGCTGTTATCTAAATTACTGATCATGGATATCACATTTGAATATTATCTTTCCAATTTCCTTTATTATATTTAGTTTTAGAAGAGCAGGAAGAAGGAAGAGACTCAGAAACATGTCTTCTCAAATGACCTAGCACATTCCTGAATTCCACAGGGCTGCAGTTTTAGAGGTATTGTTACTCAAGAGTGGCCTATTTAGTAACACAGAAACTAAATAGGCATTATTGGCTTACTTCATTTAATAGCAACGAGGGCATCTAAACCTCTTTATACACTGTCGCTGAACTCGTCTGAGGTTGCAGCATTTAGTGATGGACCTAGAATATCTTAACAAAGTCACAACAATTTGTTAACACACACACACATGCACACACTGGTGCTGCCTCTGCCAACAGAAGACGGGAGTCAAATGAAACTAAAATTTTCTAACAATACCTATGAAACACAATTAGCTCTTTGCTTTAAACAATTTAATTGAGCAAAATAATTGGCAGAACAATAGAGTGACCAACAGCTGGGGCCCTGCCATCAGCTCTAGATTCTTCCCTACTCAATCACCTATTCGCTGCATGACCTTGGATGAGTAAATGATGTGCCTGAACCCCAGTTTCCTCATTTGTAAATGGGGATAACTATTATTTTATAAGGCTGTCATGAGGATTGAATGAGAGAGAGAATGCAGATGAAGCATGTAACCCAATGCATGGTATGTAATTAATAACAAATGTTACTGCAATAATCATAGTGATGCTGATGAAGGAGACACCTGAGGGTGAGAGTGATGGTGACTGTAGTCTTTTGAAATGTGGGCAGCAGCTGCAGAGAGGACGCTTTAATCTTTTGCCAGGACAAAGCTTGTAAATAACTGCACACAGGGTAGAAATTCTAAGAATGAAGGGTTGGCCAGAATCTAGGGAGCCATAGGAGAACAGCCTCGGGAGGAGAGCAGCAAGCCACACAATTAACGGACTGCATCCTATGTCGTTACACAGGCACTACTCCCCTGCCCTGCCTGCCACACAGACAGGAGGCCCATGGCCATCTCAGTGGGTCCCTCGGGGAGCTACCTGTCTACTGTTGCTCCAAATAAAATGAATGGCACTCAGCTGGCGGCCATTTTCCCAAATCAATTCCTCTGACTTCCAGATGACCCACAGAAAAGCAAGGCTTTCCACCAAATGAGAAGATTCCTATAAAAATTTTAAAAACTGGCAGAATATACAATATTTGGTTCAAAATGTATAGCTGACAAGATTGTAGTAGGCATAAGATAAGCAGAAAGATGCTTATAAAGTCATTATAGGCCTTATATTATAAGGCCTAAAATTCTTCCTAAATCATCTGAAAAAATGGATTTGGAAGACCAGATCCCCATGTACTCAATTTTTTAAATGACTATTAAGATCCACTCAGGATATTAAAATAGTCATTTGCAGCCACCTAAAGATCACGCGCACACACACAGCAATGATCAGAAGCTGCTCATGAGAGACCACATTTATATTAATTGTTAAAGACACAGGATCCCAAAAGTCAGGAACACTCTCTGTGACAGAAGTGTTTTCTTACTTATTTCTAACATGAATTAAAGTTTACTAGAGGCAAATAAAAAGCTTAAAAAAATAGAAGATTCAAATGAGCACATCACACCTATGGTTACCTGACAATAAATAAAGCCATACAGAAAATCCTAGATGCTCAGAGCTATGAAGGACCTCAAAGATCACCAGAGCCACTCACCCCACAACACGACCAGCTCGTCATGTCTCCAGCTTCCCTGCCAAATGGTCTGTTGGTCCATGCTTGTCAGAGTACCTGCTACCTCCTAAAATGGTACATCCTGCTCTGGGACTTAGAAAGTCATTTCTGTTGCTAAGACAACATTTTCCTCAGTGTCTCTTCACTGTCAAACAGGAGTATTTCCTCTTTCAATGGCTGTTCAAATATCAGAAGGCAACTGCAGCATCTATATTTATTCATTTCTTTCCCAAACTGTCATTAGCCATTTCTCAGATACTCTTCCTGGACTATGAGAGGGGGGCACAGGTTGAGTTTTTGACTGTAAGAAGTCTTAAGTTGCTTCTACAGAATGGAACATCATAAGCATCATACAAGTGACTCTTGGTGGTCTTTTTGCTGTTCTTTTATTGAGTTAGGAAGGTGAGACTGTAATAGATGAATGTTTGGACAGTGAAAGTCGATACTGAAGGATAGTTGGACTCAATTTATCTGAGCTCTACTTATTAATATGCTCCTTCTTTAGCAGTTTTTCAGCATCAGGAAAGAATAGGACCTTGAAAAACGTAGTTATGAATGCCATGGGCACTGCGCTAGAAAGCAGAGTGGTACATAAGAAAGAAATTCTCTAATAAGGCCAGCCTGAACCTAAATCCTACCTCTAACACTCAGTTGCAGTTGCCATTTGTATTTTGGACAAATCCTTGGTTTCCACATTTGTACATGTGGATAATGGGCACATCTGAAGAGTGCTTCAAGCAATGAGAAAACCTACTATCACAGAGCACCTAATCAAACAGTGAGACTCATTTTTCCCCTTTTTTAATTGAAAAACCAAATTTTAGGTGAAGTTTCTTTAAAATGTTAACATTCCACAGGTAGATCCAAGATGGCCCTTTTAGGAGCAGCTCATGATTGCTGCTCCCAGTGAAAGCGCAGAAGGTGAGTGGACGCCGGATTTTTAGACATATCTTTATTGCCCACAGACCAGGAGATTCCTAGGTGGAGGAGCCCTACGGGTTGCCAGTGCGGCTGTTTTGGCCGATGAGGCTGTTTTAGCCGACGCGGCAACTCTCTGTACAAAATACACTGGTCTGGTTGTCCTTTTAAGCTGGCCAGGAGATTCCCAGGCAGTGCCGTTGTTTCAGCCGGCGCAGTGGGTCGCCGCACGGGAAATCACACAGATCCCAGCGCCCTTTCAGCAGGTAACTGGAACACCTAGGAGAGAGTCAACCGCTCAACTTAAAAAAAAAAAAAGGCTCTGAGGCAGGGAGCCAGGTGATCAGGCTTGGCAGGTCCCACCCCCACAAAAACAAAAAAAAAACCCAGCAATTGGAAATGCTTGGGGTTGAGAGTTTCATGGCAAGCACAGGTGAACCCAGGACAGTGCAGCTCAGTCGGGGAGAGGCATCTGCCATTACCGAGGCACTCCACCCCTATGGAGGAAGTCCACCATT